CTTCGCAGGGTGCACCATTATAGATAGAGTAAGGAGCTCTGTACTCCGGGAGGAGCACAGAGTAGAGCCGCTGCTCCTCCACATCGAGATAAGTCAGCTGAGGTGGCTCGGGCATCTGTTTCGGTTGGACGCCTACCTGGGAAGGTGTTCCAGGCATGTCCCACCAGAATGAGGACTTGGGGAATACCCAGGACACGCTGGAGGGACTATGTCTCTCGGCTGGCCTGGGAACGCCTCGGGATCAGAAGGAGCTAGAGGAAGTGTCTGGGGAGAGGGAAGTCTTGGGTTCTCTCCTGAGACTGCTGCCCCCGCGACCCAGCTCCGGAAAAGCGGATGAAGATGAATGAATGAATTTAGGTTGTGTTGGAAAGTGACAAAAATCCAACGTCAAGCCAACATCTTAAACCAACATCATATTAACGCCCAATACTGACATTTATTCGTCAGGTATGGCAACCAAAATCCGGTGTCTGATAGACGTCATAGTGATAACATCCACACAACGTCAAGCTATAGATATATACAAATTTGGTTATTTTTAGGCTGCGTTGGAAAGTGACCAAAAACGCTGACATCGGTCAACCTGATTTTCATTTCCACCCAAAATGCAACGTCCCCATGACGTTGGGGTACAACGTCAATCTGATGTCATGTTGACGTCTTGTGCCTGCTGGGGCAATGTGCATTGCTAAAACTGAATTTGAACAACTTTAACAGTGATTTTCTCAGTATTTGAATTTTTTAAAACCTCATATTCACTATTTTGAAATAGCTGTATCTCAATCAAATATGACCCTAGCCTAACAAATCATACATCAATAGAAGGCATATTTATTTATCATTCAGATAATGCAATCCTAAATTCCAAAAAGTGCAGTTATGAATTATTTGTGTTGTCCAGAATCTCATATCTAAACCCATTGGGCATGCAGGAAGCAATCATTTCTTACTATTTCCTTTTCCACTTAAATATTGTCGAGTTGTAGGAACACAGATCTCCGGGGGTTGAAGCTGACACGTAACATAATTATCATACGTCCCGTGGGTTGAACATTCGGGCTGCATGAGTCTCATTCAGCAAACTTCTATTCATAGTACTTAAACTCTCAGGGAGGAACGAAATCAGAACCCCAATCAAAACCCAATTCGCATAATAATAACTGAGCAAGTCACTTCAGACATCACGCTTGACTGGTCTAAAGAGCTTCTGCGGGGACATTTCCCACAGTGCTTAGCAGTTTCCAGACTGTCATTCATTTATTTAACAATTAAAGTCCCATTGTAAGGGGAAACACTTCATTATTAGTAGTAATCTGTTAGCGTGACACTGAAGAATTACTCCCGCAGGTTTAATGTGGTAGGTCTGCAGAGACCGAAACAGTTTTCTCCATTTGCCTTACTATATTCAATTAAACTTACATGGTTACTTTGGATATGATCTTTAGTTAACCACATTTAATTAAAGTAACATGGTTGCTTTGCATATAATCTTTAGTTAAGTGAAGTTTATTCATAAACTAATTTCGAGAGGATCACGTGCTTATGATTTATCACGGCCAGTCTCGCATTTGCTAATCACTATCTTCCAATCATATGAGCCCTAAGCTACTATAAATAGCAACAGTTTTAAGTTCACTTTATCTTCGTTTGGAAGAAACCCCCCTCCTCCCCTATTCTTCTCCTTTACCTGTGATTGGGCAGCACGGCGGCCCAGTGGTTAGCACTGTGAGCCCCACAACAAGAACACTGCCGGCCCTGGTTCCACAGGACCGGTGGGTGTCTCTGTGAGGAGTTTGTATGTCCTCCCCGTGTCCGCGTGGGTTTTCCCCGGGTTCTCCGGTTTCCTCCCACCATCCAAAGACATTCAACATGCATAACAATCAAGCTTGTCTAATCCCTTGTGTTCCCTTCGCTACCGCAGCAGGGGATTTCTGAGATCCACCGAGCTCAGGCTCCCCTCTTGCTCTGCCAACGGGAGGAAGCCCCGGGCTCGAGGAGCCCTTGAGCTCGGGGCTCTCTCCTGGGACAGCATGCCAATCAAGCTTTTGTAAATCATCAGCTAAGTGTGAACTCTTGAACCATATTTAATTAAAGTTACATGTTATTTTGTATATAATCTTTAGTTAAACCGGCCAAACTGAGCAAGGATATGCATTAGTGAACTCTTCACCTTGTCCAGAACATCGAGTTGTGTTAATATCAATGGCAGAGCCATATATGTGACTCAGGACCATAAACACAGTCATAAATGTACATTTTTGGAAATTAAGATTTATGCATTATCTAAAAACTAAATAAATGTGTTTTCCATTGATGTATGGACAACCTCAACCTCAAAACAGTATGCAATTCTGAGTGTGCCTCACACAGGTGAGTGAGCTTGACAAACCCCCTGTAGAAAACACCCTCTTTCATCTCTCTGACACTTTTTTTTATTGTTTTTGCACATTTCCATCAGACACTTTCTTACAATTACTCCATCTCTAAACAAAGGGCATTTATGAAGTGTGCTTTACACAGGTGAGTGGGTTTGACAAACCACTTGTAGAAACACTCTTCTCTCTCTCCAAAAAAAACACTACCCCCTCCAGCACTTAATTATTTGAGCACTAACAGTTCTTTTGTATAAATAGCACTTCTTGTGTGTATTGCATCTTCTTGCTGAATGTCTCCTCAATTCTAAAGGTTGATTTATACTTCTGTATCAAGTGCATGCGTATGCTCCGACGCAGCCTACTTGCGGACACATAGCCCTCACTATGGCCGTCGGCAATGCTGACGCGCACCTCTCAAAAAATTTAACTACACATCACAACGACGCATAGCTAAAGCTCTTTAATTGGTCGGCTTGGTAGCGCTGACAAGTGTGGGTGGAGCTGAGAGCCGCGCAAGCCTGAGTAAGCGAGTGTTTACAAGTGTCGAGTCCCGTGAAGGAGCTCCAGATGGAGACTGATGTTTTGTGTTTAACTAATGTTTAAAGTTGTTGCACGTTTGCCGATTCCCGCCTTAAAATGAGCAAGTTTGAGCCACTTGTACGTTAAGGTAGCTCTAAGAAAAAACAAAACACCAGCGAAGAAACTCGACACAGACGAACATAAACACCTCAATGCCAGCAATCGTTTCGGAAATGTTATTGCAGAAGAACACAAACAGCGCGCAGAAGTAAAAATGCACGGCGTTGCATGCGCCGTGGGTCATGCCGATTATTTGATGCAGAAGTACAAACCAGGCTTATGTTGCTTTGCACAAAAGCATCTGCTAAATGACTAAATGTAAATGTAATTGTATAGTATGTTAGGATAGAACAACAATTGGTTGAGATATAACTATTAAAAATCTAGAATCTAGGGGTTCAAAAAACATAAAATACTGAGAAAATCATCTTTAAAGTGGTTCAAGTTAAGTTCTAGGAATGCACATTGCTAATAAAAAATGAGTTTGGATATATTTACAGTAGGAAGTTGGCTAAATATCTTCATGGAACATGATATTTACTTGATATTCCAACTCAATCCCACGACAATTCGTAACTTTTTGATTTAGTGGGTAATTCATATCAATTCGTAAGATCTTAGTCCTACAATCTGCTTATCCCCCAATGATGGTTGGGTTTAATGGAGGGATTGGGCCATGCCTCCTTTTTAAAATCATATATTTTCCTACGACTGAATTTGTATGAATTAGCCACTAAGCTGATAAACTGAAAATACTTCCGTTTTCTCCGAGATCAGATTGAATATTCTTATGATTTGTGGCATAAAAGAAATGTCAATAATTTTGACCCATACAAAGTATTTTTGGCTATATTACAAAACGTAACTTTCATTCATTTTTAACTTAGTCCCTTTATTAATCAGGGGTTGCCACAGCGGAATGATCCGCCAACTTATCCAGCATATGTTTTACCAGTGAATGCCCTTCCAGCTGCAACACACATACACTCTTGCGTTCACACACACACTACGGCCAATTTAGCTTATTCAATTTACATATACCTCATGTCTTTGGACTGTGGGGGAAACCGGGGGACCTGGGGACCCATACGAACACGGGAAGAACATGCAAACAGAAATGCCAACTGACCCAGCCGGGGCTCAAAACAGCAACCTTCTTGCTGTGAGACGATTGTGCTACTCACTGCGCCATCGTGACACACTCAAAACATAATATGCGACGCATAATTTACAGTGAGTGGGCTTTGATAAAATAGGGTGGACCTGCAATGCATAAAATTTTATTAAAAAATGCACTGATTTTTGGCTGAAAGATAAAAATGTAGGTTCACCAAACATTCTCAATCCATATAGCAGATTTATATAAAGCAGGTGTTCTTGATTAAAAGGAGCCCGAAAACATACAGAGTGATATTACATGCTGGTTTGCTATAGCTATGAAACATTGTGGATTGGATTTTCAATGTTATTTGAAAATGCTGAGAGGTTTATCCAATAGAAACTGGATCTCAGATCCCCAGGTGTGAGGACGATGAGTGAAACCCAGTCAGGTACTGTTTTACAGCGGGAGCGCGCTTCAATTGGATTGATCACTCAGGCTGACAGTGTTTGCATTTACAATGTGCGATAGCATTTCCATCTAGCAGGGCTTTTTAAAATATACATCTTAGTCATTCATTCATTTTCATTCAGCTTAGTCCCTTTATTCATCAGGGGTCGCCACAGCGGATTGAACCGTCAATTTATTCAGCATATGTTTTACACAGCGGATGCTCTTTTAGCTGCAACCCATTACTGGGAAACATTCATAAACATTCATTCACACGCACATACACACACTAAGGCCAATTTAGTTTATTAAATTCACCTATACCACATGCATTTAGACCTTCTGTCTGTGAGGCGACAGTCCTGCAAACCCCACATCTTAGTCATTCTTTACATTTCTTTCCACAAATCCTATATTTTCTGTCTCATTTTATTCAGATGAAGCTGTCGATCAGAGTTATAACTAACATCAACTGCATATGAATTGCTTAATCAAACCTGTCTGTTGAGAGTGGTTCTTGATCTCTCTTTTCCTAGTCTGGATGCAGGTCTCTTGATCTTGTATAAGCTGAGAGATTATAGCGCAGTCAGGATGGATTGCGTGCATCTGATGTAGAAAAAAAAGGTATCAATCAATATACACATTGACTAGCATAGTCTACAGAGAGACTAATAAACTACACTACATTTATAGTATGTAGTGTGTAATATTGAGCAGCACCAGCTTTTTAAATGTACAGTATTACACAATAGTAAATTGATTCCTACTAAAATGAGCTTCCCATCTCTATTGAGTAATTATGACTTAAGGTTAAGCTGTATTGTAGACACAATTACACTTAAATGAGAACACTTTTGTGGGGCTGAAGGAACAAAATAAATTGCTAGTGATTTTTACTTAGATTCAAGTGCAATTATTGTTGCTAACACAGTGAATTAGCCTTTATGTCAGATTTTAAAGACAAACAGGGTTTTCTTACTAAATGTATTCTTTAATAATAAAAACTATCATCATATTAAGTCTTTACAAAACAAATATAAAGGTAATGATCAAACTTTTAGGACCGACTTCCATACGTTTTTAGTATTGAATGTTATGACGGGAATTCCCATATTATTAATTCTTATAGTGACTTTTACGTCGTAATCGTTTTAAATTCTGACATACGAGTAAATTAGTAACTAGCTAAAATGAGTACAAGTTCGGTTAATTCAGAAAGAAAGCTACCATAATTCATTTTAATACATAGGTCACTGTAGAAATGATATATGGAGAAAATGTTTAACATACTTACAGCTCTCCAAAAGCCCGCGAATAAGCACAGATGTACAACCGTCATGTTAAAACCAAGGAGTGTTAAAATGACACTAAATATATCCCTTTAAGTCCTCTGAGTGACCTGCTCCGGCTCTTGTTGATTTCAGACTGAAGTCACATTCACAATCGCTCTTTCTCATCGACTGATGTGCGCGTGCACCTCCTCATCACAGGGTCGTGACGCGCGCACAGTCAGATTCACTTTAACATGTAACCTAATTTCACTGCTGAATATATGAGCAGCTGTTTGTGTAAGGGGGGAAATGCTGAGCGTGTTAAGATGAAGTGTGCTTTTTTTTGAAGAGGTAAGCTACTTTTGAGTAATGCTTTTGAAGACAAACACAGACTTAATGCATTCATATTTAATGAGAGAAACAACTATTTTTCAGGTCGTTAAACAGGGACGGGGATTCAGGGGAGAGGAAATGTCGCCCGGTAAATGTGAATAATTGAAATAACATTGGACAAAAGCACTGAGAAACTCCTAGGGATTTTGTAGGGAAGACTAGGATTGGTTGGCACTTGGCACAGTGGTTGTTTCGCACAGATTTATTCCTTGTAGTCGCAGAGAAAGTATACAGGACTAGGTGCAAATGGCGGGAACAGACGTGACATCACGCACAGACATCGCATAATGTTTCCTGAATTTTTGTCATTCAAAATTTATGTTTTTTGCACTCAACTCCATCACAAATGCTTGGCACAGGTTGAGTTTTCTCAGTATTCCTTCTGTAACTAACTGGGGAAACACACACACACACACACACACACACACACACACACACACACACACACAATCTATATTAACTTTCGACCCCATTTTCATAATTACATGTTTAATTATTCATAAATAAATATACACAAACAATACTTTCTGACACAATCGTTGCGATTATTAGGTTTAAGTAAAGGGAATTGCACATTTAGCAGGTTGTCGTCTAACAAAAAAAGCCTGACAGGCAGATCGGAAAATCCAGTGTGAAACATTTACATTTAATAATGACCTATTTTATCCTTACAAAAGACATACAATGACTTGCAAATGAGAACAATAGAAGCAATCAAACCAACAAAAGAGCACCTATGTGAGTGCTGTTATTCCCCTAGCACTATAGATATAGCAGTTAAAAGAAAAAAAAAGAAATGGAAATGTTAGAGAATTTAAGGGATAGTTCACACAATCATATTAATTCTATTACAATTTACTCACCTCTTGTTTCGAAGATTACTGTTTCCTTCTTCTGTTGAACACAAAAGAAGATATTTTGAATAATGCTGAAAACCTGTAACCATTGGGTTCCATGGTATTTGTTTTTGCTACTTTGAAAGACAAAAGTTTTTAGTGTTCTTCAAAATATCTGCTTTTGTGTTCAGCATAAAGGTTCGCACACATCGGGATGCTTTTCTTTTGCGTTTATCGTCAGTGTTTTTCGAGATGTTTTTTCGCACCCAAACCCAAGAAATTTTCACTAGTGTCAAGCAGAAGATTAGCCAAAATCACTCCTTGACGTTAGATGGTGTTACACAACTTTAAGCTTCTGACACCTGCTTGTAACATAGAAGAAGAGAGAAAGTTTGACACATGTGGACTGCGTCCGAATCTGCCTACTACTCAGTATGTACTGCATTTGAATTTCAATGTACTGCTCGGCTGTTAGAAAAGTACGTTCTATACAGTATGAATGTGAAAAGTATGAATGGAATTCGGACGTACTACATCCGCCATTTTGTCATGGTCACGTGACCTACCTGCGTCAGTTGCGTCGCTTCACTTCCATTCATGAATTCTCTCGCAGGGCATTACGACATAGCGCAGCGTGCATGCACTCAAAAAAATGAACTTTCCCTATTGTTAATTTTACTCTACCCATCCTTGTTCACATTACATAAAAAATAAAAGTAATTGAATTAACACAAGTTAACTATGTTATTTCTACAAAAATGTAGTACTGTAGGCTTTACTTAATAAGGGTTTGACTGGCCAACTTAACATTGTGGAGTAAATCGCAAAACCCTCCTAAGTTTGGACATTTGCGGATACCGTACCTGCTTACCTGGAGGCGGAGCAACGGAACTGAACGGAAGACAGACGAGAGCGCGAAGCACATTGAGGAGAAGATGGTGGCTTTGCCAGGTACAAGTATTTTCATAACGCTTTACTGGTAAATATCGCCAGGAAAAGTTATGTTAATGTTCACAGAATTATGTTAATTTATTTTATCAAGTTATTTCGGAGTCCTTTGAGTTTTAGCGTTTTTTTAACCTGTTGAACTTACTCGTGTTTCTCAACGCAATTATGTGGCAGTGCAAGGACTGCAAAATAACAGTCACGACTAGATCACAGTTGTTGAAACACTATAGATTAGTGCATAGACATTATGGTCGCGGTATTCGTTTTCCATGCACATATTCTGAGTGTCCCTGTAGATTTAAAACATGGAATGCGCTACACAGCCATCTAAATCGTAGCCATGCAAAGGAGAACACGGGGTTACCTGCAAGTGTAACGCTAACCACGTTCAATTGCCACGTGTGTCCTTGCAGCAATATAGGGTCAGAACGTGAGTATTTTAGTCACATCCATAACCACCTTAAAAACAGCGAGACAGTGCATTGTATGTTTAAGCACTGCTCTTTTCAGACAAATGTGTATGGCACATTTAAGTCCCATAAGAATAGAAAGCACAATTTTTATTCTCTTCAGGACTTCAAACCAGGGGTTATTATAGAAAGTGGTAATGTTACTCAGGAATTAAATGAAGATCTATTGCCAGCTGAAGAGGAGGATGTTGATGTTTCAGGTAGTGTGGAAGTGGAAACAGAAGTACAAGATTTGTCCAAGACAATAGAGCTCAAATTTGCATCCATTTTGCTAAAACTTGAAAATTATTTTCATGTTCCTAGTAATGCAATTGATGAACTCATCACAGATTTGAACTATTTGATCAGTTCTGCATCAGGATCCGTATCAACAAAAGTTGTTCTTGATACTTTTCAGAAACATAATCTTCATGTAGATCAGCTTATCATAAAAGAGCTTATCAGTTCTTTGTCATCATCCAACCCTCTGTTAAAAGCTACTTCAAATGATGGTCCTTTGGCCACTGCTTTCAAGCGCATGAAATTTTACAGGGAAAATTTTGAGATAATTGAACCTGTTGAAATAATTCTTCAGTCTGAAAAAAATAGATCTTTCCAATACATACCCATCTTAAAATCATTACAACAGCTGCTTAATCAGAAAGAGATACTTAATAAAGTTGTTGGTGGTCATACAGGACAGAAAATCATAAATGATGGATTTTACAGATCTTTTAAAGATGGTCAACACTTTAAAGATAATGAGTTTCTCTCAGGAACTGAACTCAGACTCTCCTTGTGTCTGTACATTGATGACTTTGAGCTGTGCAATCCATTAGGAACGTCACGCAAAAAGCATAAGATCTGTGCAGTTTATTGGATTTTAGGTAACTTGCCACCAGGGAGTAGTTCATCGTTGTCCTCAATTTATCTCGCTCTGTTATGTAAAAGTGATGATGTAAAGGCCTATGGCTATAGAAAAATTTTTGAGCCTCTTGTGAACGATCTCATCACTTTAGAGCAGCAGGGTGTGTTTGTTAATGACTTGAAAACATTTATCAGAGGAACAGTGCAGTATGTTGTTGCAGACAGTCTTGGTGCACATTCTTTAGCTGGATTTGTTGAAAACTTTTCAGGGGAATATTTTTGTAGGTTTTGCACTGCTACACGCACAGATATTCAGTCTAAAGAGGTCAGAGATGGCGCTTTTCCTCTCAGATCTGAAGAGCAGCATGATGTACATGTAGCAGATGCATGTAAGAAAGGAGAAGCATGTTGTGGTGTAAAAACTGCATGTGCTTTATCTGAGAACCTCTCCTACTTTAAAGTTACTGCAGGTTTTCCCCCAGATGTGGCCCATGATCTCCTAGAAGGTATAGTGCCTGTTGAGTTGGCTGGATGCATTGACATATTTATAAAAAAGAAATATTTCACCTTTGATCAACTTAACAAACTGATTCAGGAATTCCCATTCAAGTGGGGAGATAAAACCAATCGTCCTCATGTGCTTCCACTCACTTTTTCAAGGAAAAAAACTATTGGGGGAAATGCTCATGAGAATTGGTGTTTGCTGCGGCTAATTCCATTAATTGTTGGAAAACTTATACCTCAGGATGAACCTGCTTGGGAACTCATTCTTCTCCTGAAAGACATTGTTGAACTTGTTGTGTGTCCGGTGCACACTAGCGAGTCTGTTGCATACTTGGAGAGCAAAATATCCGAACACCGCAATCGGTTCAAAGTACTTTTTCCAGAAAGAAAGCTTTTGCCAAAACATCACTTTCTGGAACATTATCCAGCGATGATCCATCTATTTGGTCCACCTGTTTCATTCTGGACAATGAGGTTTGAAGCCAAGCACAGTTTTTTTAAACAAGTGGCTAGGCACACTAACTGTTTCAAAAATATCACCAAGACTTTGGCCAGGAAACATCAGCTCATGGTTGGTCAATTTATGCAGTCATCCCAGTGCGATGAATTACCTGTAGAGGTTACACGCATTTCAACTGTCCCTGTTGATATTCTCCAGGAAGACATTGCTTACACTTTTAACCAAAGATACCCGAACACTTCTGCTATTAATTTAGCTCAGACAGTATTTTCTGATGGCATAAAGTACACAAAGGGCATGATTATTGTGCATGGAACAATTAGTGGGCTGCCTGATTTTGCAGAAATAGTGCAGATTTGTGTTTTGAAAGATGGAATTGCTTTTATAGCAAAACAGTTAGGTTCTTGGTACAATGAGCACTATCGATCCTTTGAATTGGATATTCATCCAAGGAATGTTTCATTTATAGAGCTGAATGAATTAGCAGACCGTTATCCTCTCTGTGATTATAAAGTTGGTGCTATCCGTATGGTTACCTTGAAAAGATACATACACGCTGCTTGACCAGTTTTCTTTTTCTCTTACAGAGTGATTGATCAAACAGAGAAAATGACTGATCCAGCAAAGTTGAAAATTGTTCTAGGAGACAGTGATTCATTTAAATTGACGCTGCCATCTGGAATACCCAATTCTATTGCAGATTTTAAATCTGAGATCAGGAAACAATGTGGTGTCACAGGAGATTTTAGACTGCAGTATCTTGATATGGACTTTGATGATTTCTTAAATCT